ATTGGTCGTTCTGTAAATAGGTTACAATACATTGAAAACTTATTTCAAGTGAAGGTAATTACTTACTTTATTGTATTACTAGCGGNTACCTATCTATGCTTAGAAAGCTTATTTTCTGGTAATTTATAAATCAAATCAAAAATATTTAATTTTGACCAGTATACCTACAGTTTTGATCCATTTGTTTATTTAATTGATCATGTTCACAACCTATTGTCAGGTTTAAGAAATTAAAAAAAAACTATGGTATTGGTTTAAATAACTTTAAACCAATTTACCAAGGAACACAAACCGTCAAGCCGTTGAAAAACAATGTCACTAACCACGAAGAGAATCGATAATCATAAGTACTTATCGGGTCGTAATCGAATCAAGTTGGGTCCAATCGATTACGGATTACGAGTTGAGGCCGTGACTTCACATTACTGATGGACTGACAACAAATGAGCCTGAAAATAGAATCGCACTAAGTAAAATTGGTTGTTCTGTAAATAGGTTACAATACATTGAAAACTTATTTCAAGTGAAGGTAATTACTTACTTTATTGTATTATTAGCGCTAGCAGCCCGCGACTTCGTACGCGTGGATCCCGTTTTACCTCCTTCTAGGTGTGGAGTATTGTAAAATCCGTTCTTAGTGAGCACCTACGTTCTAAAAGGAACCCCCATGCAAAATTTGAGACTCCTAGCACTTGTAGTTTCTGAGATTTCGTGATGAGTGAGTGAGTGAGTCAGTCAGTCAGTGACCTTTCGCTTTTATAGATATTGATTAATCTAGAAATTATTAAAAAATATAGTAGACGACAAAAAATAAACAAACAGACAAACAATAATTATGTTACGTAATATCGTGCCAAAAAAGCAGAGTATAAAGATTTGGCAAATTACTCGTATTAGTCAATACTCCACCGCATATTACGCTTTGGGCCTGAAATGATAAATATAAGATTATTTGGATTTGTCTTGTATTTGGGGAATATACGTCTACTTTGTATCATATCTTATTTTGAAAGGATGCCAATGATTTTAATTTCACCCTGTATAAATAAACAAAACCTCACTTGGGAATCAAACCCTGAACCTTTGGCTTGGGAGTTCAACTAATGTAACCACTGGTTTAACAAAAGACCGTAATAAACGTTCCTTCATTTAAAACTTAATTTAAACTGTCCTCCGGTTAACAATAAAACCGTTTTAACCAAAGATGGTAATAACGAAGACAGAACTAAGTTGAGTTCTCTATGGATTTTAATTAAAGAGAATGAACTTATTACGCCAAGTTCTGGTACAGAACGGATAGAAAAGCCAGCACAATCAAGGCGATAGCAAAGTGAAGAAAACCTCAAAGTAATTTGAGTATTTTTAAGTAACTACCAAAGTGGGGTCCATTTCAAGAAAATAAAAATTGGACACTTCTATTAATCTTGATAGAGTCATAGCCAAACAAAAATGATTACTTGGGGGAGGCCTATGTTCAGCAGTGGACGTCCTGTGGTTGATATCATGATGATAATGAAGTAGGTAAATACTTTGTTACTGAATGTAAACTCTTGTAATACCAGACTAAGTTTCTATAATAACGATGGTTGTTTTTTTATGATATCGTTGCCTACCTCTGTGGCGAGAAAGCACTTTAATATTGCGATCAAATTTTAATGCAATCATATCTCAATTTTACTCCTGAATATTCTAGTACGAAATGAGCTAACTGACCTTCCCAGTCTGTGTGCAGTACAATATTGTTTTCCTATTTCAGTCGGAATGAGCGGTTATTTCCATTCCATTAGAACATTGTTTTATTTCTTATTCACTAATGCTTGATTTGTAGTCTGTAATATCCTTAATGACAATAGCAACTAAGCGAAGATTGTGTTCCTGGAATAGTTTTTAGGGTTGCCGTATGTTTATTTAACTACACTCGGCATCAAATAAATCGCACCTCCCGCGACAAGCACTTATCAAACGTATGCATCCCCACTTCCCACCAACNGATATTTATTGGGCTTTCAAATAACACCAATATTGTTAGGGTACCATGATTGTGTCAGAAGAAAATCTTTAAAGTTCGCGTCGCGGAAGGTGCGGTTTATTTGATGTTGAGTGTATTTAAAGGTGGAAAGCCATATTTGATAAATAACTACATAGTGTAGACTTTTAGTAGTTCAGTGAAATACATAGAATGGAATGAAAAAATTCTCGTACAAATGTGTGAACGAAAAAAGTCTGGATAAAGTTCATTCACTTCGCTTTTTGACACCCTACCAACTTTCACTTTATGTAATTTACAAAGTTATCGCGCTTCATAAAACTGTCGCTAAACACGACACGAAACGCGTTTCATAATAACTTTGTAGGCGTAGTGTAAAATACTTTTTACGGGATGAGTAATTAATTTATCATTGTTTATAATAAATAAAATGAACAATAACGGTAAATAAATGATCTTTTAATCTGTTTTATTCGATATTCCATTTTTTTTTAAGTTTTTGACGATTATCTGCGGATATTAAAATTACTTATTTTTATATTATACATTACATAATATTTAAATGAAAAATAAATGAGCACTCACCTGGTTTTTCTCGAGCAGCATTCCCGCCTTTCTAACACTAACACAACACAAAACACTTCACGAACTTTGCCTCGACACGTCCGTTCACCGTGGAGGTTGGATAACAACTGACTGTTTGCTACTCGATTTGTCGTAAAGTGAACAAACGAGTGAGTGATTGAACGTAGATGAATGAACCGAGTGAATGACTGTACTGATCGAGTTGTCTATTACATTTTTCTAAAACACTGAACCAAATTTTGGTGAAACTTCGTATGGAGATACTTTGAAACTAAGAAAAAAATGAAGGATATTTTTTATTTAAAATTTTCCAAGGGAAAAACGGGCACGATACATAGAAGAAGCCGTGGAAAATAAAAAGTATTTTTTTAATTATCCTAAAATTCATTTTTTTATATTATTTGTAGTGTCTGTCTTTTTTATTATTTGTGTCAGATAATAAATAATCATAAAAGCCAGACAATTTTTTAAACGAAAATTCGTGTTTGAGATAATTTTAATGCTACAATACCTCTATTTCTGTGAGTTGCTAAGAAACGATGATAATAATTTATTCCAAGAACTTGCGGCTTATACTCATACAAGAGTACAGGACCGAACACGGTTCTGCCGTGCTATTCACGGCTACTAGGAAATTGCATGAATAGTTCAATCTTTAGTAGGGTAACCATCTGAGAGATGGGAAAAATCCAAACCTTAAAAATATGTACAAAAAAAAACTAGCTCACTATTTTTATCGACTACTCATTCTAGATTTATGAATGCTTCAAAATTAAATGGAGTTAAATACTTACTCAGTTGATTTTTTTTATTTCCTCAATATTGCGTATTTGAACCAGTACCTACTGGTTTCGCCATATTCGAGTGATTAATGACACGGTGGTGGCGTGTGTCTCTATGTGATGGGACAGTTCAAAAAGAAAAATAAGTGTAATTTGGCTTTTTTTTTCTTACATGCAAATTATTTATACTNGCTCAAATTCGAAGTATTTCAATGTTTTTTATAATTTATCACTTCACTGCACTTTAGAACACAAAATAACACCAAATTTGTACACTAAAGTCCATTAAATAATAAATTGAAACCATTAAAACAGATCGACCATGCTTCCCGTTCAACTACCCTCCACGGAATCAACTAAAACCTTCTTGTTGGTTCAACCTGCCATTATTATTTCTATTAAATAAAAAAAACGATTGTTAATTGGTCAATGTCATCATTGCATTGCACTGATGGGATAGAAAAATAAACAAGCAAAACCTTATTTGTTAGCAAACGTCATATTTATTTAAATGTTAGCAGCACTGTTTCTTGCACTGTTGCAATGTTGGCAGGTTTGACTTTTACAGTACCTAGTGCAAGCGAAAACCGACACTAAGGTGACGAACCTTTTCATTCTGCGACTGTACAAAAAAAAACTAGCTCACTATTTTTATCGACTACTCATTCTAGATTTATGAATGCAATTTGATTGCAATTGCTTCAAAATTAAATGGAGTTAATTACTTATTCAGTTGATTTTTTTAATTTCCTCAATGTTGCGTATTTGTTGGTTTCGCCATATTCGAGTGATTAATGACACGGTGGTGGCGTGTGTCTCTATGTGATGGGACAGTAGAGTTTGATAGTTCAAAAAGAAAAATAAGTGTAATTTGGCTTTTTTTTTCTTACATGCAAATTATTTATATTAAAATACCAACCGAGTCCGAATCTGTCCCGCAAAATTTGTAGACATGGTAACCCTGCCTCGTGCAAACTAAGTTCTCTGCTTGAATATTACTTAGGATAGGAAGTTCTCATTAGCTAGCTGAATGGAGAAATGGAATAGGTATTAAACACATGAATTCTAGCTTCCTTTGAGTAGTGCAATACTGAAACGTAAGGGAGATAATTTGAAAAGTAATTTTAATTAAGTATAGTCTGCGTCAAATACTTCGTGGCACCCAAAGTAGCTAAATTTACAATACAACCTTATTCCGATTGTAACAAAGACGCGTTGCAAACTTTTTGGCTACTTTTGGTGTCACGAACTTCTTGACGCTGACTGTACCAATATTGTTGGCTGCATCAAATGTGATTATTTTTTAAGTTGCTTTAAATTCAATGTTTTTAAAATATGGACCTATACATTTGAGTGTGTTTTAGCACTTTGATGACAAAACTGAACTAACTTATCCTGCTGTTGGACTACAAAATGAGTGACCGTATTTACTTACATCTATCAATGCTTCGGTAGGCACGTTACAAGTTGGTTTGGGGGGTTCGATTGATATTTGATGTTGGCCATTGGTTCTTTCCACCAGTTCACACTTATAGGTCCTGCTGTGCATATTTGGAGAGAGGACTATACCTACTAACGATGGGACGAATATACGAGTATATGGTTACTTTTGATGTTAATATTTAATTTTGTATCTTTGTCCACAGAGCTATGCAGCGCGGCCACCAAGATCCAGGCCTCCTTCCGGGGCCACCAAGCCCGCAAGCAGACAGCTGAAGAGAAGGCCAAAGAGCTGCAGGATCTACAGGATAAGGTACGTAAATACATCTACCTTTTCATAACCTAGGTACTTACTACCTATTACCTACTATAGATTGTTTCATCCACGAAGACGCGCTCCACCAATTTTTGGTCGAGAAGTCTGATCCAAGCAATCTGAGCGTCATTATTGTAGTGTGCGTATGATGCACTCGTGGATGATTTAGCATGTACCGATAACACTCAAACATTAGCGGAAGAATGGTGGGGCGCGTCTACGTGGATGAAACGGTCTATACACGAGTCTATGAACCTCCTTTAAAGTCATAAGTCATTTAAAAAACAAAAGGCTTTTATTAAGCGCTTTTCCATGACCTAGTATAACTTGAACCCTATCATTGCCTCGGGACCATAAGTGCTGAGAATAAACTCGGTGACCTAACTTTGTCAGCTTAAATTTCAAGGGTTTACAATAACTATTCCTTCTCCATGAAACGTATACTTCCATTTTTTGTGATGATAATAATCAATAGAATACATTGTGTCAAATTAGAAACGATTTCCAAGAGCACCTGCCTCAATAAAGTTACAGCAAAGAGTAAAAGTCATAAAAAGCAGTCTCTCAGTGAAGCGCCTGAAAAACTAAATTTTATAGCAAATGGAAATGCATAAAGCTACATTTTATTTTAAGTACCCGAATTTCACGACCAACATTCTAAAGTAGATGGACATAAAATGTCGTAAACAAGATTTTGTGGACAACAGGATTTTATAAGCCGTTGTGAACACCAGTAACTTATGACAACACTATAACCATATTTTACTACATGAGAATGGGGTGATCGATCCATTTTCTGGTATCTCAATGAAGGTAGCTAGTATAAAGGACGTAGCACACTTATCAACCTGGAAAGGGATCGTAACCGTATCAACTCGAGGCAATTTTGTATGAAATTCCATACTGCAACGGACACTTATCCGTAACCGTAACGTAAATGCCTCGCCTCGCGGTTGACACCGCGCGAAGGGCGATACGGTGTTGATCCCTTTCTGAGTTGACAAGTCTGCTATGACCTGTAAAAATAGAACCATTATTGTATGTGGATAGGTCTTTACAATGCAATCATCATCATCATTTCAGCCATAGGACGTCATAGGCCTCAGAACATAGGCCTCCCCCAATGCTTTCCATGTTGATCGATTGGTAGCGGCCTGCAGTGCAAACTAACTCTATATTGCTTGCAAACAAATAAGGTTTCTTTAAAATATTAATAAAATTTTAATTGGTTTTGCAGGAAGACATAGAAAAGATCGACCTAGCCGATCCAGACCTGAACAAGGCAGCCACCAAGATACAAGCGTCCTTCCGCGGCCACAAGGTCCGCAAGGACGTCCCCAACTAAGGTGACCACGCGTCAGGATTTGGACTCGTATGTAGGATCACGTTTCACAATACCAAAGTTTTGTTTTATTTCTGAGACTAATAGTATAGGATCACATTTTACGAATACCAATGTCTCATTCGGAATTCTTTTTATATGGGTCTCGATTGATAATAATAGTTTGGTGGAATTTGGTGGGCTATACTTATTCCTTCTGATTAAAAACCTGTAGTTTCACCGTGCAAGGATGCATGTAAAATGGATATTAACTGATCAAAATTGTGTGTGATAAACTGATAAAATACAGGTGGCAAATACAGACAACATAACAACTTTGTGTCTGTCGTTAGAGACTTTTAAAGGGTTTTTTCCTACACCATGTTTATTCGTCAAGCAATGTAGAAGAATCGTACATACGGATCCAGTCCTCGCATCGTTTACTAGTATGTAAAGAGTAATCGTGGATGGTATGTCAATTCTTTACTTATCATTTTAAGTCAATTTTTATCCTTTACATGCTACGATTATCGGCTGAAGCATTGGATTGACGTGTCTCATGACTACCAAGAAGTAGTAAAGATTGGAATGAATTGAACTATTTATTGAATATGATAGGTATCTGTCCCGTTTTTTCTATAATACATTATGGTCACCCTACTTCGTGAAGCTACGCATGACAATTATTATTATCAGATGTTTCTTCGTAATAGTTCTTTATTATTATTACATTCCGACGGTTTTCTTCTTTCAATGTTTGTTGAAGATGTAATATTTTATTTAAAATAAAAATATAGTTAAGGTTGATTATTGTAGCTTTAATGCCACTATGAATGCTTAATTTATATAATATATTACATAAGTTTATGTTTTATAATGCGTAATAATATGTTATTAAAATAAAATAGTATGTATCCTTCAAATTCAATTTAACATTCTGATTAATTACTTCATGCAATTGTTTTAAATATTATTTAAAGTTTGTACTACCACCATTCTCGCTGGATTTTCCTGTACATTTCTGGTAAATTTAGGATTTATATTAAATAAAATATTTAATATTCGCCTATATCAAATGTGTTTTATTGAAGAGTCCACTAAAATTAAGAAAAACCTTTGTAAGTTGTTTACTTTATTATTAAATTGTTTTAACATTTTTCAAATTATATTGAAATTTGAACTGATTAAGGACATAGAACCTAACTTCAGCAAAGACCTACAGTATTTTGTAATTCAACACAAGCCTGTGGTTATATCTAGATTCATTAAATATTGTACAAGTTTCTAGCTTCTAATACACTGCACCAAAATTTGGATAACCATAGTAAGAATTGGCTCTATACACAGACTGGCCATTCTGATAACAAACATTGTTGTATCCATTACAATTTCTAGGATCTTTTATTGTTGGTAAAAGCTTCTGGTTTTCCCAGTTGGCTACATTATTATTGCTTTTTATTACCACTTCTGTGTTTGTCCAAGTCCTCCATTTGGTATTTTTGTCATTAAAGACATTACTTTTAATTTCGTTGTCTTTTGGCTGACACAACGCACTAGCCAAATTGAAATTTGGGGGAATTGGATATTGGTATGAAATATACATTGCATCAGGTATATATACATTTGGATATACATCAATAGCAGTGGTATATAATGAAGTAGGATTGTATACTGGAGAGCTCGCTTGAAGAGGATTTGTATATGGTGTAGCAAGATTGTATATATTCTGATTTGTAGTTGGCATGAGGCTTGGATTGATGTACAACGTTGATGATTCAGAGTTAGGTAGATTTTCTTCGTCTTTACTTGGTGGTTCTAGATTTTGTTCCACTATTTCAGATATTTTATTCTGTTTGAACTCGATGGTTCCAATTTCTTCTGAAAATAATTAAAATTAATTTAAATTAAAACAACGTTGAATTTCAGGATTAGAAAATAGGTTTCATGCACCAAAACGAGATCTCACTTGAGTCGTTTGACATTAGGACTATGGACCCAGTTAATCAACTCAAGTTCAACAGAAGATCTATAATCCTTACTAGCATAAAATAAACATAGACAAACCTACCATTTTTAGGTTTACTTTCAACAACATCTTGTGGAGATGAATTGACTTCAGATTTTATTTCCTTCTTAGTATCAGCTAACACATTAGAATCATTTTGTTTAACTTCCGTAATTGTTTTCAGCAACAAATCCATGACTTCTTTATTGTGTTGTTTAGCTTTTTCAGCATTTATTTTTTCAGATTTTTGTTTAGCTTGACTCTCTGTTTTGACTGTATCACCTCTTTGTATTGGAAAGTTTATTTCAGTAATATTCTTGATGACAATAGGATTGCTTTCAGCTTTCATCCTCTCATTTAAAACTGACTTTATTATATTAGGTATTTCGTGCATGATTCCTATGATTACATCGTTTTTATCTTCTTTATCACCGGAAGTTTCTTCCTTTAGTTTTTTCAGTGCGATTTCTTTTGCACAGGTTTCCACGGGTGCTAATACAGTTTTTATTGTAGTATCAGTTGATTTTTTATTTTGAACATCAGATTCTACGTAAAAGTCTTCTTTATCCAGTTCTGATTTTCTAACATTCGTTGACGCAGATCCGACGGGATTCGTTGCATCACATTTTGATTGCAAAAGAATTCGTTTAATAGGAGGTCTAACATTGTTTTTGACTGGGCGATAACTAGGTGGTCTAGCTCCTCTATTCATAGCATTTATTCTGTTACGAGCCAGAACATTCGGTCTACTTCTTGGCCTAAAGTTTGTGATGGGTTGTCCTTGTATATTTGGTCTAGTTATTGGACTATAATTTGTAATGGGTTGTCCTAGTACATTTGGACTAGTGTTTGGTGTAATGGGTTGTCTTACAACATTAGGTGGTTGTAGAGTTATTTGTGGCAGTATATTTTTGAGATCCAAATGCAATTTAATCTTATCGTTATTGTTCAATGTGTTCAGAACTGATTGTACTCCTCTTTTATGTCTTATTAAACAATTTTCGCTTTCTTCCTGGAATATAAAATTGTTTGATTAAATATAATATGTGGGAGTGAAACGGAACACAAGGGAATGAGAGAAAGGGAATGAATGAGTGAGGGGGCGAGAAAGTGACAAAGGAGGAACGGTTGTAATTTTCTACGGAGAGAACAATTTTCTTTTTCTTGTGGTCTATCCTGAGAAATATAAATACAGCTGGAAACATGCTGGAAAAATATCAACGCCTTTTAATTTCCTACAGCTATTTTGTTATAATAGCTTACAATTATTTTTAGGAAATTGTTTTATAGTATTGTAGGATATAAAATTTTAAATTAGAAAGTGTACCTACTAAAAAGGTCAACAATTCAGCAGTAATGATTCCCTAAGAAAAATCTTATTATACTTTAATATTATACTCACCATGTTTGTTAACTGTTGAGTTATTTTAGGTATAATAATACTACCGAGATCCAGACGTAGTTTGATGTTTTCATTATCAACTATATCTTGATTATCTTCTGTTGATTCTCTTTTAGGCCTACAAATATTTATATCTTTATCCCCCTGAAAATTTTAAACACACTTCACTATCACAGTACATTGGTCATACATCGTTAGTGTCATATTTTCAATTAAAAATACTCTTAAAATATGACAAATACTTAATTAGTAAACAATTCTTAAAGTACCGCTTAGATTATCAAAATTCCCGATATAAATGTTATAGTTAACTTACCATTGTATTATTTAATTCTTGACAATAACAGAATGTATTTATACAAACTACCGTTAATAATTGTAACAAATTCATGATTATTTTTCTAAACTAGTCATAAAACATCTAGACCAAACCCACTCATACACGATTCACATCGTGCACTAAATTCATGATCAATCTAACTTTTAAAACCAAAGGTTATGTTTATAAATGTTCAATTCTTACATTGGAATTGATTTTCATGGTCAACCTCTGGATTCAAAATATCTTTAAATTAAATACTTTTTGATAAATTCATAATTCATTAAGGTGAACATTATGCTATTGAATCAAAGTTATCAAAAGCAAAAACCGTTATAAAACTAACAACAAGTTAGCCAGTCTTTGTTTTGAAGAAATATCATGCACGTTCCTCCGTATCAAAAAAGTATTACTTGCACGAGATGATAGGTATATTTAACACCTATGCAATGTAAGGCAGCCTAGGACGTTCCCACTGCACTTAGTTTACGAAAACGTCTACTAAAGACTAACATTTTTTTTACTTATGAGAGAAGTAAGTATATCATCGAACTCGTCCCATTTTCTTGATTGCTTTCATTAGGGGATAGAATTTGGGACGAACTTGGCCTTCACTGGCTGAATTTTGATTGGNTATAGTATTGTAGGATATAAACTGTTCATTTTAAATTAGAAAGTGTACCTACTAAAAAGGTCAACAATTCAGCAGTAATGATTCCCTAAGAAAAATGTTATTATACTTTAATATTATACTCACCATGTTTGTTAACTGTTGAGTTATTTTAGGTATAATAATACTACCGAGATCCAGACGTAGTTTGATGTTTTCATTATCAACTATATCTTGATTATCTTCTGTTGATTCTCTTTTAGGCCTACAAATATTTATATCTTTTTCCCCCTGAAAATTTTAAACACACTTCACTATCACAGTACATTGGTCGTACATCGTTAGTGTCATATTTTCAATTCAAAATACTCTTAAAATATGACCAATACTTAATTAGTAAACAATTCTTAAAGTACCGCTTAGATTATCAAAATTCCCGATATAAATGTTATAGTTAACTTACCATTATATTATTTAATTCTTGACAATAACACAATGTATTTATACAAACTACCGTTAATAATTGTAACAAATTCATGATTATTTTTCTAAACTAGTCATAAAACATCTAGACCAAACCCACTCATACACGATTCACATCGTGCACTAAATTCATGATCAATCTAACTTTTAAAACCAAAGGTTATGTTTATAAATGTTCAATTCTTACATTGGAATTGATTTTCATGGTCAACCTCTGGATTCAAAATATCGTTCGTGTCGATTAAATACTTTTTGATAAATTCATAATTCATTAAGGTGAACATTATGCTATTGAATCAAAGTTATCAAAAGCAAAGACCGTTATAAAACTAACAACAAGTTAGCCAGTCTTTGTTTTGAAGAAATATCATGCACGTTCCTCCGTATCAAAAAAGTATTACTTGCACGAGATGATAGGTATATTTAACACCTATGCAATGTAAGGCAGCCTAGGACGTTCCCACTGCACTTAGTTTACGAAAACGTCTACTAAAGACTAACATTTTTTTTACTTATGAGAGAAGTAAGTATATCATCGAACTCGTCCCATTTTCTTGATTGCTTTCATTAGGGGATAGAATTTGGGACGAACTTGGCCTTCACTGGCTGAATTTTGATTGGTGGGCAAGCTGTAGATCCTGGCTACATAGGAGTTACAGCGGTGGGAAGAGGTGGCAATAGTCTGTATACAATATTTTATAAGACTGGACCCATGATTGAACCTTGAAGAACGCCACATGACACTGTTCTCGCATTAACTTGCCTTTTGAACATAATTCTGTTGGATTTGTCGAAGATGTTTCTTAGACTAAAACATCACAATTATCAAATAAATTTAATCCCTAATCACATAAACACAAAGGCGATAAGGTTGCAAAGGTATCGTATCATAGGGTAGAACTCTATCACAGCGGTGAAGATGAGCACGGAGAGGGTGACCACTCTGTTCACGCTGCGGACCAGCTCGAACCGGTTGATGAGGGGAGCGGACTTACGGAGGGACCTGCCTTCGAAGACAGAGTCCTCTGGAGGAGTGACCTGTGAAGAAGAAAGGAAGGATAAGTATCAACAGGGTGTGGTAGTTAGAACATGAGTGTAATAGGATTCCTATAAACAAAATCAGTCGATTTTAAGGACTCTAAACGCCAAACTCAAAACAGCTCGGCGGCTTTATTTCAAAAGAATCTGACTTATACTTTCTATGACCTTTGACAACACGTCAAAAGTCGAAGACTGAAGAAGGGTTTGGAGTAGACTGCATTATTCGTTCCTGATAATGATAACACTTCAGATAGTCCAATTTTATGAACAAATTATACCTACTTTGGTTCTTCCTCTTCCCTTTTCATTAAATAAAGGTTGATATATTTTATGTGCCAGAAATATGAAACCTAAAGTTGTAAATTTAACGGATACGCTTCAATAATGCTATTAAAGAATTAATTAGGTAGTTAATTAATAAACCAGTGAAACTGGCACTAAAAAGATCTTAACGTTAACAAATTGGGAGGCTCCTCCATAATTTTTCTGTGCTTTGTGTAATTTCTTTTCTGCTCTGGATAGCCAAGTAAACGCCAAGGGAATTTTGTAAAGATTAATTGAAAAGTTTGTTTCAGAATGAATTAATTACCTACCTGAAAAACTGTGCCCATTTCTATAGCAGACGGTTTGTTTTTCTCTGGGCAAGGCTGGAATATTAAAGTAAAGGGCTCGATTCCCGTATACTTACATAAAATGTTATAAGTAGGTATACAAAAACGAATTGGATATTGCTAATAGCATAGTAGTATTATATTATCTGTGATAGTAGGTTCCATAGAATGAGTTAGCGGATTTGTAAAAAAAAATGTTTTCTTAGACATGGTTTTCTTACCGCTACATTAAGTTCTATAACTTCTACCTATACCTACTTTAAGGCTGGGTTGCACTATCTTACTTTAACTTTGACAAACGTCAAAAATCTGTCAAACTCCATACAAAAACCACCGGTTGTCGTTATAGTTACCGTTAAAGTTAGGTGGTGCAACTCAGCCTAAGATTACGTCTTCATAGTTATAAAGTTATAGTTCTATAACTCAAGTACTGGATTAGAGATTACTAATAAGAATAAATTACTAAGTACTGGATGGTAAATAAAATGTGTCAAACAAACAAATCAGTATTTTTCTTAACAATAAAACACTTTTAGACTTACGCAAAGGTAAAATTACGTTTCCTTTTGTAACTAAGCCATACATAAGTGTATTAAAGAATATCACATCTCCTATATTGAAGCAAAGTGGGTATATGGATCAGAAATTGTATCAGCCACTCTCTTCGTAAAAAGCTTTTGGAAGCATTTAATCTAGTTGCGCTGAAAGCTTAAGGGGCTTTTGCATCGAATATGATAATAATATTTATTAGAGCTAGATAGCATACTAAATAATTACTTTCACATACACTATTTCAACGGAGTCATGTCACTGACATAGCAAAAAGCAGAAATGACTAAAAATTAATACTTTCATAATCTTTTTTTTTTAAGTGACAGGAGGCAGACGGATCACCTGATGATAAGTGATTACCGTCGCCCTACTAAAAGAGTAAAGCTCAACTTTAAACCTAAGTAAATAGCCAAAATACTTATGTTAGAGACCCTAAATATTTTTAAAAAAGGACTGATAACGTTCTGAAAGAAAGAAAGAAACACATCACTTAGTTAAGGACAGAGAACGTATACGAAAAAAAAAAGAAATAGCACATAAATATTACAAGGAAATAAAAAGTGAACTGTACCTCTTAAAAATTAAACAGCGCCCCCTAGGGCGGCTATAATATAGGGGGCGCTTTTTAATTTTTCATACAAAATTTTTCGATGACACTTTGAATACGCAACGAAACGAACTCGAAAGTTTTTCCTACTAGAGGTACTGAGCAGTGCTATCCTGTCGCAACAGCGATGCCCATCGCAATGGGACTCCACTCAGCATATGCCGTGGCCCACGGTGGGGAAGGCCACGACTTCTAATTCAGAAATTCTGCTTAATGGTCTGTTCGGTACTTGCCCTCTTTCTGTTTTTGCCTACTAAATGTGAGGCCTATACTACATAGTTGTAGTGTGTTTCTCCTTTTTGAAAAGCACACAGGTACTTTTTTTCGAACATAAACTGATAGAGACCAATGTGTCAAGCTTGATGTGCATTTACCTTAACACCTTCCCCTTCAGGCTTGACATCCTCGTGGATAGGCTGCGCGTGGTTGGTGACTATATGCAACGCCCCCGACACGTCTCGCCTACTCCTCAATTTGTATTCCGGCTGGTGAAGAGAAATAACAACTTTACACACAACACAATCAATAAATTAATCTACAATGCGTAAAATAAAAGACGACAATGGCTCAACAAATTCGAGAGGGTACTGCAATATATTTCAATCGCATCGATTTGTGTTTTGAGGCTTAATAATAAAGCTTTAATAAAAATGGACATTGAATTAATAAATAATAATAATAATAAATCTTTGGACAATTTCACACAGCGCCAGCTAGCCCCAAAGTAAGCAACTTAATGCTTGTGTTATGGGTGCTAGCTTAACGGATATACTACTTATATACTTTTTTTTTTTAAATACATAAATATTATACATAGTCACACCCAGACCCGTCACAGAAATTAAAATTCATCATTTCAATTTCCGCCCGGCCGGGAATCGAACCCGGGACCTCTCGGCATAGTAGTCCGTTCTGAACCACTACACCAAACGGCCGACAAAATTATGTTATGTTTATTATGTTATGTAACTATTAATTTTTGTTTGTATCTTTATATGGGACTAATAATTTGTATGCCACTCATAGGCCAAACATAGAGCTCTGCCCATTATTATGTACCACCTGAATTCTACATTTACCTATGTTTTACAAATAAATGATTTGATTTGATTTAATTTGATTTGAAAGCAACTTAATTTTGACGTGTGGTTCCAAAAGAGTGGACTAAGGCTACACTCACTCTTCCCGTGGCTATTGTAAGATGTGACTAGTGGAGAAATATCCGAACGTAGAGAGTGGAGGCCAAATCCTTCATTGCTTCTGGTAAATTGGAGAGGATCGTGTCATCATCATCATCATTTCAGCCATAGAACATCCACTGCTGAACATAAGCCTCCCCATATGATTTCCATATTAACCGGTTGGTAGCGGCCTGCATCCAGCGCCTTCCTGCTACCTTTATGATGTCATCAGTCCACCATATAGCCATAGGCCTACACTCAAAAACTTGCTGCGCAATCAGACGTCAGTGCTGTGTACGAGAGTCGTGTAAATAACCTGTACCTCTAGTAGGAAAAACTTTCGAGTTCGTTTCGTTGCGTATTCAAAGTGTCATCGAAAAATTTTGTATGAAAAATTAAACAGCGCCCCCTATATTATAGCCGCCCTAGGGGGCGCTGTTTAATTTTTCATACAAAATTTTTCGATGACACTTTGAATACGCAACGAAACGAACTCGAAAGTTTTTCCTACTAGAGGTACTGAAATGCTGATGATGATAGATAAAGAGACCAGCTTCGTAAGAATACTAAGGTAACTTACTATAGCGTGTGCATTCGTGTACACGAGAATACAATTAAAAATTAACAAAATAAAAAACTTCATTCTGAATCAATACATTCTTCTAAGCTAACGCCAAACACCTCACGGTTTTTATACGAATTTAATGTCCAAATAAAATATATCAATAACAATAAAGTGCGGCCATCGAATTTCGACCACAATCGATAATTTTGTTGTGCCGAAGAAACTATGTGGGAAATAATAACCCTCGGTGCTTTGTTGGTGTCCGTTTCTGGACATAGTAATAATGTAAGATTATCTTTGCCATCCTATTCTAAAAGAAACTTTAGGGCCCTTTTTAGGACCCAGTAATGCAGGATCCCGCAAAACTGGAGTGTCGTGTGTGTTTGAAATTCGAATTTCAAATTCTAACGGATCGGTTTTTTGCGGGACACTGCAAACGGGATGGTGTGAATGATAGCATACTTATTATTATTCTGTGATGATAGTATTAAAACATGTACTCAACGGCATCCTGCATAAAACGGGATGTCTCCTTGAGAAAGAGCCCTTAATGTACGAGTATAATGTGCTTCTACAACATTTACGACAAGCAAAACAATGTCACATTTTTATGTAGTTTTAAAAGTTTTTTTTTAAATGTATTTATTCGGAAACAATCGTTATACAAATTACTTGTAATTAAGTTGTAAAGGTCTCACTAAGTTTCGTTTAGCATACATTAAAAGGTGTCTTACATTGTTTTGTATGAAAAAACCTACAGTTTTTTAAGCGGTAGAGATCCCTAAAGGGTTTTAAACATAATCCGAAGAGCGTTCAACACAATATCAAGACCTCAAGGGTCTGACATGGCTTAATCGTCCGGCTCAACGGGCCACTACTGAAATAAATCATTTTTTTCCCAACCAAACTTAGTTAGAACTAAATGTTCTAAGGCTGAGTTACACCATCTTACTTTAACTTTAAAAAAGGTCGAAAGTCTATCAAACTTCATACAAAAATCACCGGTTATCGTTATAGTTACGGTTAAAATAAGGTGGTGCAACTCAGCCTAAGTCTAATGGAAAATAACTGTGATATTTACTTTAGAAGTTGCAGAATGAAGCTGACTTGCAATCTTCGCTGATGCCGCAAGAGTTAAATCCAGCTTTCATTGCTAATAAGGTACCGTTTGAAGCTTAAACCAGGTAACGACTAATAAGGTAAAGACAGTAGGTACTAATTAAAATGCAATTTATAGTAGGTAATTTATTAAATTTTTAATTAAATAAATTAATAGGAATTGCGACCATCTTAACTCATTATTTAACGAGTGAGTACGGAAGTACGGAAGAATCATTAGTAATATTACTTCAAAGTTGGATAGGTATGCTTTAGTTATTTAAAATATCTTGAATTAGTGTGGTCTAGTTCGTCAACTACAACCTTATCTGACTCTAATCCTATCGCTTAATTTCTCGCAATCGATCGTCTCTAATCTAATATCGAGGACCACAGATTGGTGCTGATGTCCTTGAAAGACTGCTTTGTCTTTATGAGAATAAATTATTATTATAGGTACCAATTTTTTTTAAAGGACGAGCCATGGCGAGCCATAATGCCAGTGCCACGACTACGCCGAGACTTGGAGCCCCATGCACCCAGTTTTACGTCTCAATTGCAACGGTAAGTAATTAAGAATAAAATAAAAAACTGAAGACCGATGGGGCAGCAAGGTTCTGGAGTGGAAGGTCATGTACCGTAAAACGCAGCGTATGACGTTCGTAGGTGGAGATAGTAGAAAGGCGCTAAATGCAGGGCGCTACCAATCGGGCGATGTGGAAAGATGTGGAATCATTGGGGGAGACCTATGTTCAGCAGTGGACGTCCTGTGGCGGAAATGATGAAGTGCTATGGAGAGGGCTATCGGTGTTTCTTTACGAGATCGAATCAGAAATGAGGAGATCCGTAACGAACTAAAGTTGCTGACATAGACCGACAGATAAGCAAGCTGAAGTGGTAATGGGCAGGGCACATAGTACGCAGAACTGACGACCAATGGGGCAGCAAGGTTCTGGAATGGAGGCAGCGTACCGGAAAATGCAGCGTGGGACGTCCCACGAGAGGGACCGACGACATCATATAGGTAGCAGGGAAGCGCTGGACGCAGGCCGCTACCAAACGATCAACATGGAAAACAGTGGGGAAGGCCTATGTTCAGCGGTGGACGTCCTATGGCTGAAATGATGATGAATTGATTTATTTACATTTTATCTGTTTTCAGATACAGCCGAGTGACAGCGTGTGCTGTTTTAGCGTTGGCAGCCGTTGTTGAAATAGTTCTCTACGTGCTAGATTATTATTTGCCCTGATACAGTAATTATTCATAGTAATAAACATAGGTCCACGGTAATAAAGACATTAAATTGATTTACCGTTTCATTTCTATGCCAAGGCTGACCTAAAATACACACTGACAATATAGTAATAAAAAAAATACAACTTAGAAATAAATGGTGCTGTATTGTTATAAAATAACTGACGCTATTTCTATACACCTACCTAAGTACTTTTTTGTTTTTGGACTTTCATAGTCAGACATTTTTATTTTTATTTTAGATACATGTAATTTGATTGCATGAAGGGCGAAAATGGCAGGCTGAAAAAACTATTTTTTATTTAAACAGTAGAAATTCGTAATTAACTAAAAGTCCTCCTCCTCCATCACATTCCCACTAAAGTCCCAAACTAATTGTGTTTTGTGGCCTATAACATAACATTTTGCCCCAGTAGGATTAAAACTTGACACAGCAGAACCTTGTAGTCCAACCTTGTATAGGGCATGTACTTATTCCATTATTTATTAGCAATTTCATCATCAGCACCATAAATAATTTGTATTAAAAATCACTTTAACTGCGTAGATAAAAACAACTCAACAACATTTTTAACTGAATTAAGGTTTAATCGACATTTTAATCAAGTTTTAGAACTAATCGATTCACTTTAGTACGTGTGAAGTGGGGGCCATGAAAATCGGGCGCGAATATAAGGTGTGGGTTGAGAGGAGTGAACATTGTGGTAGCTGCAATGAAGTGGGCAGTGGTGTTATTTGCATTGCTAGCACTGCTCTGCAGTGTCCTGGTAAGTCCTTTATTTTTTTTAAACTAATCATCAGGTCATTTAGTCTCCTTTGCAGGAGTACGACTCTCTATAATTTACCAAAGAAGCAAAGGGAGGATTGGCCTACACTCCCCACGCTGGCTAGACGGGTTGGGGAGGCCTGATGTTCATATTTCTACCCTAAGTCACCATAAATCCTTACATAGATCAACTGAAAGAGAAAGGTCCTATTTCTTTCTACTTGATTCTCTACATAATTTTGTTATACAGGGTGGCCCAGAAAGAAATTCACTTTTGAAAATTCAAGAAAAAAAAATCTGTGTAATTTTGTAGAACTTTATTCATTACAATTCAAAGAAAATTAAATGAAATTTATTTTTAAATTTACCTTCATCAAATTACATCGTATAGGAGATTTCCGTGACGATTACAAAATTCGATCAACATACATCAAAATCTTGAAATGCGTTCGTTAGAATTACCTCAAAACCTATTTTCCATTTTTTGCCGAATGTTCAGCTTCAGTTGCTGCATGGTTGTTGGATTATAAAAGTATACTCTATTCTTAAGGTAACACCACAAATAGGAGTTTTCTGGAGTGAGATCCGGGCTTCCTGGTGGCCAGGAGATGTCACCCCTGCCTGAAATTATTTTTTTGTGGGAACATGTCTCTTACCATCTAAATGCTCTCATTTGAAATGTGACACGTAGCCCCATCTTGATGAAACCAAGAGCTCTAGTCATAGCCTTGCGAATTTTGCCACTTTGAAATCAAAAAGCTTTTCAGCGTGTCAGTATAGCGCTCTCAAAAATTAATTATCCTTTCGAATGCAACAAACCAATTAAGCAGGGGTGAAATCTCATTGCCACTAAGAAGCCCTAATCTCATTCCAGCAGACTTCTTTTTGTATGGTTACATTATGAGCAGTGTATACTCTAAAAATCCAAAAACTCTGCAGCATTCATCCATCCTGAATCCATTTAAAGGTAACTCTTATGAAAGTTTTCCAAAATTTTTATGTATGTTGACCGAATGTTGTAAACGTCAAGGGAATCACATGTACGATCAAATTTAAAAAAGAAAGTAAATTTATAAATAAATTGCATGAAATTTCCTTTAAATTGCGATAGTTAAAGTTCTACAAAAATATACAGTTTTCATTTCCTTAAATTTTCAAAAGTGAACTTTCTTCTGGGCCTGGGCCACCCTGTATTACGAAGAGAGCAAAAAATGAAAGCCGTATTGCGTTGCGTTTGTTCGAAAGTGACATCTTTATTTTTTGTTTTATATTTTACTTTTAAATCCTGTCCTTGACACTACTCTGTAAAATCCTACGTTATTTTTTTATCTGAATACGGCTTCTCAAATTCATTCTTGAGTACAAATTCATACTTGAATCTCACCTTATAACAAGTTTTTTAATTATTTTTAGAGAAATTCCAAATTAAACACCACCTTGAATTTAGTTTTCAGGAGTTTGTTACGTGCCATAAATGCCTTTGAGTTAAAAAGAGGGAATTCAAAAAGTTCCTTTTCTCCTAACATTATAAATGGCAAACTTCCATCAATCATTTCAACCAACATCGCCCCGGATCGTTGGTTATACTTTCTGCGATGTATTGTGAACTTTTGTGAAACTCACGAAGGGTCGAGCATTTAATAAAATAAGTATCATTCTTCACTTAATATAAAGCCAGTATGTCCTTACTAGACCTAAATGTAGGATGACAAGTGACAACCCCATTTTTTGCATAAAGTTGCGACCTTGGGATTATCTAAGAAAGGCACAGAAAAGGTACGTGCGAAAATTCTTTGAATATTTTTCCCGTTTTGCAATATTTTTCATTGATGCTCCACTATTAGTTGTAGCATAGTGTAGCAGTCCTCGATAATGCCCTAAGCATGTAACTATCCAACACAAAAACTATTTTCAATTCAAACTGGTAGTTACTGGGGTTAGGGCGCTTAACTCATGAAACAAACGAATTATTGTATATTATTGGAAAAGATTATTGAGTGGCGACCACGAGCCGGAAGACGTAGCGTGGGCAGGCCTTCCACTAGGTGGACCGACGATCTGGTCAAGGTCGCGGGAGGTGCCTGGATGCGAGCGGCGCAGGACCGGTCTTTGTGGAAATCCTTGGGGGAGGCCTTTGTCCAGCAGTGGACGTCTTTCGGCTGAAACGAACGAACAATTAAGTATAGAAGATAAATTGATGAATTACCTTACAGGCCGAATCCGACCAGGACGCTGAGTCCCGTAGCGCGGACTACACCGGCAGTTACGCGGAGCTGGCCGCTCCCGTGCCCTCCCACGTCAACGAGCAGGAGGTAGTGGCCACCCTCCTGCGCACCNCATTTTCTTGATTGCTTTCATTAGGGGATAGAATTTGGGACGAACTTGGCCTTCACTGGCTGAATTTTGATTGGCGGGCAAGCTGTAGATCCTGGCTACATAGGAGTTACAGCGGTGGGAAGAGGTGGCAATAGTCTGTATACAATATTTTATAAGACTGGACCCATGATTGAACCTTGAGGAACGCCACATGACACTGTTCTCGTATTAACTTGCCTTTTGAACATAATGCTGGTGGATTTGTCGAAGATGTTTCTTAGACTAAAATATCACAATTATCAAACGAATTTAATCCCTAATCACATAAACACAAAGGCGATAAGGTTGCAAAGGTATCGTATCATAGGGTAGAACTCTATCACAGCGGTGAAGATGAGCACGGAGAGAGTGACCACTCTGTTCACACTGCGGACTAGCTCGAACCGGTTGATGAGGGGAGCGGACTTACGGAGGGACTTGCCTTCGAATACTGAGTCTTCTGGAGGAGTGACCTGTGAAGAAGAAAGGAAGGATAAGTATCAACAGGGTGTGGTAGTTAGAACATGAGTGTAATAGGTAAATATAAACAAAATCAGTCGATTTTAAGGACTCTAAACGCCAAACTCAAAACAGCTCGGCAGCTTGGTGTCGGCGGCTTTATTTCAAAAGAATCTGACTTATACTTTCTATGACTTTTGAGAACATGTCAAAAGTCGAAGACTCATGTCGGCGGGTTTGGTGTGTAGACTACTTAGGTACATTAATGGTTCCTGACACTTGATAAAACACTTCAGATAGTATAATCAATCTTGAATTTATCCAATCTATCCTACCTGTTTCTTTCACTCTTCTTTTTTTAATTTACTTACAAGGTTGCTAATGACCAATAACTTTATGTGCCAGAAATGTGAAACCTAAAGTTGTAGATTTAACGGATACGCTTCAATAATGTTATTAGGGAATTAATTAGGTGATAAATTAATAAACCAGTGAAACTGGCACTAAAAAGATCTTAACGTTAACAAATTGGGAGGCTCCTCCATAATTTTTCTGTGCTTTGTGTAATTTCTTTTCTGCTCTGTATAGCCAAGTAAACGCCAAGGGAATTTTGTAAAGATTAATTGAAAAGTTTGTTTCAGGATAAATTAATTACCTGAAAAACTGTGCCCATTTCTATAGCAGACGGTTTGTTTTTCCCTGGGCAAGGCTGGAATATTAAAGTAAAGGGTTCGATTCCCGTATACTTACATAAAATGTTATAAGTAGGTATACCACAACGAATTGGATATTGCTAATAGCATTGTATCATAGAATATGAGTTGGCGGATTTGTAAAAAAAAAATGGTTTTCTTAACACTACATTAAGTTCTATAACTTCTACCTATAGGTACCTACTTTAAGATAACGTCTTCATAGTTATAAAGTTGAAGTTCTTTAACTAAAGTGCTGGATCAGAGATTACTATAGATCTTTTAAAATAGTAGGTAAGACTGCAGCCGTGGTTGCAGCATCGCAGCCGAAACGTCAAGCCGTGAGTACATAATGTAACTCATTAATAAACGTCGCGTTAAGACCCGTGTCTTACTATTTTAATTGAAATGGAACGCGAAAGTTTAAAATCTTATACCTACTATACAGGGTGTTAGGTAAATGGGTATATGAGCCGACACTAACCCATGTTAACATGGTCATATAAATGGTATGGTAAAGTCAGAAAATCAATATCTTCATTTTAATTATTTTAATTTTCATACAAATCGGATTTTATTAAATTTATTTTGTATGAAAATTTAAAAAAATAAAATGATGATATCAAATTTCTGACTTCACCATACCATTTACATGGCCATGTTAACATGGGCTAGTGTCGGCTCATATACCCATTTACCTAACACCCTGTAGATCGTTTCATCCACGAAGACGCGCACCACCAATTTTTGGTCGAGGGAAGCGCGGGGTGCGGGGAGTTTGATCCGAGCAATCCGAGCGTCATTATTGTAGTGTGCGTGTGCACTCATGGATCATTTAGCGTGTACCGAACTACCGATAATATTCAAACATTAGCGGAAGAATGGTGGGGCGCGTCTTCGTGGATGAAACGATCTTATAATAAGTTAACTACGTACTGGATGGTAAAAAAAATGTGTACGTATGACAAATCAGTATTTTTCTTAACAATAAAACACTTTTAGACATACGCAAAGGTAAAATGAAGTCGGTTGATTACGTTTCTTTTTGTAACTAAGCCATACATAAGTGTATTAAAGAATATCACATCTCCTATATTGAAGCAAAGTGGGTATATGGATCAGAAATTGTATCAGCCACTCTCTTCGTAAAAAGCTTTTGGAAGCATTTAATCTAGTTGCGCTGAAAGCTTAAGGGGCTTTTGCATCGTATATGATAATAATATTTATTAGACCTAGATAGCATACTAAATAATTACTTTCACATACACTATTTCAACGGAGTCACATCACTAACAAAGAAAAAGCAGAAATTACTGAGACTTGATTAATAATTATCATAATCTTGTACTAAAAGAGTAAGAGGCAGCTGAGCTAAGCTATAAACCTAAGTAATAGCCAAAACACTTATGTTAGAGACCCTAAATATTTTTAAAAAGGGATTGATAGCGTTCTGAAAGAAAGAAAGAAACATTTATTACGATGAACATCACTTAGTTAAGGACAGAGAACGTATACGAAAAAAAAGACAGAAGTAGCACATAAATATAACAAGGAAATAAAAAGTGAACTGAGCAGTGCTATCCTGTCGCAACAGCGATGCCCATCGCAATGGGACTCCACTCAGCATATGCCGTGGCCCACGGTGGGGAAGGCCACGACTTCTAATTCAGAAATTCTGCTTAATGGTCTGTTCGGTACTTGCCCTCTTTCTGTTTTTGCCTACTAAATGTGAGGCCTATACTACATAGTTGTAGTGTGTTTCTCCTTTTTGAAAAGCACACAGGTACTTTTTTTTCAAACATAAACTGATAGAGACTAAAGTGTCAAGCGTGATGTGCATTACCTTAACACCTTCCCCTTCAGGCTTGACATCCTCGTGGATAGGCTGCGCGTGGTTGGTGACTATATGCAACGCCCCCGACACGTCTCGCCTACTCCTCAATTTGTATTCCGGCTGGTGAAGAGAAATAACAACTTTACACACAACACAATCAATAAATTAATCTACAATGCGTAAAACAAAAGACGACAATGGCTCAACAAATTCGAGACGTTACTGCATCGATTTGTGTTTTGAGGCTTAATAATAAAGCAACATAATTTTGACGTGTGGTTCCAAAAGAGTGGACTAAGGCTACACTCACTCGTGGCTATTGTAAGATGTGACTAGGGGAGATATATCCGAACAGATATAACTGTAATAAATGTATCTTTCTTTCTTTCTTTCTTTCTTTCTTTCTAACAGCAGGCCAGCGTAGAGGCCAAATCCTTCATTGCTTCTGGTAAATTGGAGAGGATCGTGTCATCATCATCATCATTTCAGCCATAGAACATCCACTGCTGAACATAAGCCTCCCCATATGATTTCCATATTAACCGGTTGGTAGCGGCCTGCATCCAGCGCCTTCCTGCTACCTTTATGATGTCATCAGTCCACCATATAGCCATAGGCCTACACTCAAAAACTTGCTGCGCAATCAGACGTCAGTGCTGTGTACGAGAGTCGTGTAAATAACCTGAAATGCTGATGATGATAGATAAAGACCAGCTTCGTAAGAATACTAAGATAACTTACTATAGCGTGTGCATTCGTGTACACAAGAATACAATTAAAAATTAATAAAATAAAAAACTTCATTCTGAATCAATACATTCTTCCAAGCTAACGCGAAACACCGTGCGGTTTTTATACGTATTTTATGTCCAAATGAAATAAATCAAAAACAATAAAGTGCGGCCATCGAATTTCGGCCACAATCGATAATTTTTTTGTGCCGAAGAAACTATGTGGGAAATAATAACCCTCGGTGTTTTGTTGGTATCCGTTTCTGGACATAGTAATAATGTAAGAAAAGTATATCTTTGCCATTATGCTAAATACCTATTATGAATCATTAATGTTTATGAAAAATGTCTATAAGCAATTTACGACAAGCAAATGGCTTGTGTATTTTTCATTTAAAATTCATTTATTCAGAAACCGGCGTGACACAAATTATATAAATTGTAAAAGTTTATAGGTTTCGCCTAGTTGGAGAACATTAAAAGGTGTCATAAATCTTCTTCTATGGAAAAACCTACAATTTTAACGCTAAATATCCCAAAAGGTTATGAAGACGTCATATTATGATCCAAGATCTGACGAGGATCAATCGCTCAGACTCAACGGGCCCCTGAAAGAAATCATTTTTTTCGCACAATCATGAGTTATTCCAACAAAACTTTTGTACCTACTTACTTACTGAGTCGTATGGGTAATATTGACTGTTATAATTACTTCAGAAGTTGCAGAATGAAGCTGACATGCAATCTTCGCTGATGCCGCAAGAATTTAATCCAGCTTTCATTGCTAATAAGGTAACATTCAAAGTAACTATTTAGAAAGAAAGAAAATCAACAACAAATTCAGGTAACAAAGACTAGACGTTACCTACACAAAAAAAATCACGAAGTTGCAGTAGTAACATCTTGACAGTGTGACTGCCAAAAGACACTGATTTTCAGTGGGTGCCTTTTAAGCAGCGTCATGCAACAAAAAAAAAGAGAAGAAAAAATAATAATATTCAATAAATTAATCAATTATTAGCAGTCCTGTTTTTAGTCTCCAGTGCAGGAGAACTTCCTTTCTAATTTAACTGAGGCTAATTTGATGATTAATTTAGCCTATATTCCTCTTGGTTGGGGAGAATGGATAAAACCTGTCATATCTAAAAATATTTTTAGCTTCTCTAATTTATTTTTTTGGATTTTATTGAAAGGACGAGCCATGGCGAGCCATAATGCCAGTGCCACGACTACGACGGGACTTGGAGCCCCATGCACCCAGCTTCACTTCTCAGTTACAACGGTAAATACTCGTATGTAATATAAATAAGTAAATACATAATAATATAAAACAAATTCTGGTCATGTGGACAAAAAGCTTTTAGCATCTAGATCGACCAAAAACTAGAATCTTTCGACTTTGATGGCTACACAAACAATAGTGTACAATAAAATAGGATGAAGTTTCGGTTATGGATACGGTTTTTAAAAATGTTAAATTCAAATAGCAAGATGCTGCGCGACACACATACTTTATGTACTATGGACACTTTATGTACGACACCTATGATAAAGGTAAAACAGGCGGGGATATTAGATGGTGCCAGGGAATGCCAGACTTAAGTAACAAATATTTAAAAATTTAATGATTTAGACTCCGCCTTTATTCGAAACTTTTAAATCGGTTTCGGTTACGGTTACGGATATTTTTTTATTTCGGATATCCGATAGTTTCGATTACGGTTATGGATATCCGTAACATCCCTAATATGTACATAGGTACCATTCTAGATTGCAGCTCTACCTAAGGTGATATTTGGGAAAACCCGTCGAAATTTTCAAGTCCCAGATAAGTAATAAGCCCAAGCAAAGTGAGACAATTTAAAGGGCTTCTTTTGATTGATACATTAATGTAAGTATATGAATTTATTTGTTTCCTTTTTGTCTATTTGTTTTCAGATACAGCCGAGTGACAGCGTGTGCTGTGTTAGCGTTGGCAGCCGTTGTTGAGATAGTTCTCTACGTGCTAGACTATTATTTGCCCTGATACAGTAATTATTCATAGTAATAAAGACATTATTACTCTACCGTTTCATTGCTATGCCATATTGACAATAATATCTAACTTAGTAAAATAAATGGTGCTGTATTGTTATATAAAAAAAAAAACATACGGGTCGAATTGAGAACCTCCTCCATTTTTTGAAGTCGGTTGATAACTGACACGACGAGTATAACACCTAAGTAGGTACTCATTTATTTTTGGACTTTCATAGAGTCAAAGTCAAAATTTTCTGTATTTGTATAGACTACTTATTTAAATAAAAAAGGCGAAAATGATTTTCTGTAGCAGGCTGAAAAAAATCGAATAATAGAAAAAAAACAGTAGAAAGTTGTAACAATAGGTTACTCAAGTCCCCCTGGTATCACATTCACAGCACACTAAATCCCATAACTAATAAATTCTGTTCTTTAATTCATAATTCATAATTCTTTATTGCTTCATTTGGTGAGAAGGTCTTAAAGTCTTTGGTTTATAACATTACACTTTGCCCCAGTAGGATTAAAACTTGCCAATTAAAACAGCAGAACCTTGTAGTCCAACCTTGTATAGGGCATGTACCTATTCCATTATTTATTAGCAATTTCATCATCAGCACCATAAATAATTTGTATTAAAAATCACTTTAACTGCGTAGATAAAAACAACTCAACAACATTTTTAACTGAATTAAGGTTTAATCGACATTTTAATCAAGTTTTAGAACTAATCGATTCACTTTAGTACGTGTGAAGTGGGGGCCATGAAAATCGGGCGCGAATATAAGGTGTGGGTTGTGAGGAGTGAACATTGTGGTAGCTGCAATGAAGTGGGCAGTGGTGTTATTTGCATTGCTAGCACTGCTCTGCAGTGTCCTGGTAAGTCCTTTTTTTTTAATCTCATCTTCACAGGTCATTTAGCCTCCTTTGCAGGAGTACGACTCTCTATAATTTACCAAAGAAGCAAAGGGAGGATTGGCCTACACTCCACACGCTGGCCAGACGGGTTGGGGAGACCTGATGTTCATATTTCTACCCTAAGTCACCATAAATCCTTACATAGATCAACTGAAAGAGAAAGGTCCTATTTCTTTCTACTTGATTCTCTACATAAGTAATTTTGTTATACCTATTAGTACGAAGAGAGCAAAAAATGTTTGTTCGAAAGTGACATCTTTATTTTTTGTTTTATATTTTACTTTTAAATCCTGTCCTTGACACTACTCTGTAAAATCCTACGTAATATTTTACTGAATACGGCTTCTCAAATTAATTCATACTTGAGTCTCACCTTAAAATAAGTTTTTTTAGTTATTTTTAGTGAAATGCCAAATTAAACACCACCTTGAATTTAGTTTTCAGGAGTTTGTTACGTGCCATAATATACCTTTGAGTTAAAAAGAGGAAATTCAAAAAGTTCCTTTTGGGTAACATTATAAATGGCAAACTTCCATCAATCATTTCAACCAACATCGCCCCGGATCGTTAGTTATACTTTCTGCGATGTATTGTGAACTTTTGTGAAACTCACGAAGGGTCGAGCATTTAATAAAATAAGTATCATTCTTCACATATTATAAAGCCAGTATGTCCTTACCAGACCTAAATGTAGGATGACAAGTGACAACCCCATTTTTTTGCATAAAATTGCGACCTTGGGATTATCTAAGAAAGGCGCAGAAAAGGTACGCGTGAAAATTCTTTGAATATTTTTCCCGTTTTTGCAATATTTTTCATTGATGCTCCGCTATTGGTTCTAGCATAAAATAGTGATAATGCCCTAAGCATGTAACTATCCAACACAAAAACTATTATCAATTCACACTGGTAGTTGCTGAGGTTAGGGCGCTTAGCTGATGAAACAAACGAATTATTGCATATTATTAGAAAATATTATTGAGTGGCGACCACGAGCCGGAAGACGTAGCGTGGGCAGGCCTCCCACTAGGTGGACCGACGATCTGGTGAAGGTCGCGGGAGGTGCCTGGATGCGAGCGGCGCAGGACCGGTATTTGTGGATATCCTTGGGGAAGGCCTTTGTCCAGCAGTGGACGTCTTTCGGCTGAAACGAACGAACGATTATAGAAGAAGATAAATTGATGAATTACCTTACAGGCCGAATCCGACCAGGACGCTGAGTCCCGAAGCGCGGACTACACCGGCAGTTACGCGGAGCTGGCCGCTCCCGTGCCCTCCCACGTCAACGAGCAGGAGGTCGTGGCCACCCTCCTGCGCACTNACCAAGCCTTAATGAGTTCCTGGAAGTCTGTATCTGCGGCGAGAACATATTTCAGGCTCGGGTTCGGTCCCGTAAATCAGAACTTTCCAAAGTTCACATTAAACTGCGTGGGTATGTAGTTAAGCATGTAATGATGATACATTACTCGTAGTATGATGAATATGTGTTTCAAATAGTCCCGATTTAACTGATAATGGCATAACTTAGAGGGAAAAACTTAAACAGCGCGGAAAATAGGACCAAGTTTCAAATAAGTTTTTTTCTTAGAGAGTAATTTTTTTCTTAGATAAGTGTTACCTTATCCCATGTAAATGATATCTTAGGTTTCCTCAATCGAAGTATATCAGATATCGGCGACTTCGCTATACGGTTGTATGGACCTCCCCACGCCTCCACCAGCTGAAACAAACACAATCCGAATAAGTAAGTGCTGAGGATAAATTGTCCATCAGCATAATTTTGTGTGGATGTTAATGTCATCTTCAGAATGGAATATAACACTTACTTCGAAAGCCTTTGATAAAAAGGAAAGAAGTAAATTATGCGAGGATTTCTGTACATAATTGATCGGTACGAACTTTGCATAATGAATCTTAAGTGAAGTAGCTACGTCACTTGGTGATGGTGCTATTTTTCTAAGGTTTAAAGTTAATGGTAAGGGTTTTTAAAAAGACTATTGTTGCCTACATTACATAAAACTCATAAGTCTCATGAATTACCTACAGTAATAACTTGAAAGAGTACATTGGTTTTATAACTAGGAGCCTCTTCCAAACAATATGGAAGGAATATCCAAATGTTTGTCTCTACCTTGTCACCAGCCATGAGCACTTTCATGCGCCGATCCAGCATGACCCCGAACGGAAACAGCTGCAGCAGCAGCGACGCCGGCACCTGCGGCAGCGGGCACGGCAGCGACTTGCGAAGCATCAGCGATTGCACCTGTAAGGGTATTCAGGTTGGTCCTTTAATGAGCTCATAAGGAAAATGTCTTATTCCGTTAAATACTATAACAACTTTTATATGAGGAATATAGGAAAATGCAAAAAAATAACTTCCTGCTGGTATTTGTAGAACATAACCACCTAAAGGTTCAGCCAAACCAACGCGATCACACGCGTGCCGGCGTGCAGCGATGGCGATCAATGCATCGCCATCGCTGCACGCCGGCTGATCGCGTTGGTTTGGCCAAACCTTAACAGGTGATAACTAGTTTAGCTTAACTATTAACTGTAGAATATTATTCTGTAGAATATTATTTTTTAAAGTTGGGTTCCGCTCCAATATCAAAAGCCTTTTTTTTAAATAAAATTCCATTTCTCTAATGTATAAGCGCTCAATCTTTTGATCTGGGTAGAAATATGTTAATTTTCAGAAAATGTGTTCTAGATTGTAATAGCCTATCTAATAATAGATAATCCAGCCAAACTCATCCGAAGAGGCCCGAGGTGCGGTCCCGGATAGGGTTATCAGATCGGGACGCACAATTTTGTTTTGTACGCTTTAGATACACATCCTAATTAAAAATTGACGTTGCGTTTTTAATTTACAAAAAGAGCCTTCTATCTACATATTACTCCTGTCTAAAATTTCTAAGTAAGTAAACATCTAAAAAATATTATACTGGGCTGAAGTAGACACTTAGTTAGATGTTTAAAGAGTTTAAGTGTGCTTGTGCGGAGATAAAGCTGTTTAATATTTTAGAGAATATTTACTTTTGATTGATGCAATATTAGATTCCCAAACATCTAGCAACCCTATCGCATTCCGTTGTCGTAGGCACGAGCTTTTCATCTAGACATAATAGATATCTAACATAAGTAATACCCCAAATATAAATCGTCCGTCTATGCCTAGAATTTTCCTAATAAATAACCTCATCTGAGAGCGTGAGTCGGGTAAAATATGATCCACTTTGAAAGGCTTTTGGACCGCTCCTAAATAAACATTATCATTTCAGAGATTTCGCTACCTTTTTTTGTGCGCGAAAAATGTTTGTCGTCGGGCTAATTTGTCTAACTGACTGGCTGGCAATAACTTCTTCTTATTTCATTATTATCTTTTTTATTAACATCCCAGCCCTTGCAATTAGTCACTTGTCAAAAGATAGAGTCTGCTACTTTACGAAAACGTGGTTAATTCTGTGATTAATCGACGTAGTATGTACCCATTTGATTCAGTAAACGTATTAAATATTATCGAATTTAATAGTAAAGGCACGCCGGGTCACTATTATTCCTATTACTTTCGCCTAACTGAGTGTAACAAGCGGTTCCCGTTGCTTTGATAGTTGAAACTTGGTAATTGATATCCTTCTCAGCTTCTATATTATTATTAAGTAAAGTAGGTTCGCCTATTTCCCTAAAATATTCAATGTTATTCCGAAAGGAGTAATGAAATCTTGATTCTCAGTAAGATAAGTACCTACTTCCAGATTCTATGAGATGGGGATATAAAACAAACTTGAAGTTTATGATCTTGGCCTTACTTTGGTATATTGATATGAACTTTATGAAGTAAGCACTCATGTAAGTAACATTTCTACATCATAAAAATGTTAAGAGGTATTAGGTACTATCTTGCTAGACATAAAATATGAAAATCTTAAGATTCAAACGATAAACAGCAGTTCAATGACAAATGCAAGACAATAGCAAATAAGTGACTGTAGTTTTATAGGTGCTATTGGTTTATTGCAAATCGATTTGTTACCTTAAGGAGAAACATTATTAGACCTAAGCCTGGTGAATAGTCCTATTGTTCTTCAAACAACAAGATAAAAACTAAAAGTAAAGTAACATAGTTTGATGTTAAGCTGGTCCTTATGAACCATAATGGTGAATACAAAACGTATATACACTCGAGACCCGTACCAGTACCTTATCATATTCTGCTTTGGTTATACGAGTAATTTTCTTATCTACTTACCTAAAAGTTTGTGTATTCCTACTTTATACCTTCTTACAGAGTTATGTTAGCGCATAAATTTGCTTTAAGTAGGTACTTACTGTAAAGCCCACTGAGGATTTGTGAGTATCCATTTGGATGCTAAACGTGTCTAATTAAAGTCTGAAAACAGTTTTGCACTATTATATAGGCCAGGACAATTTCGGCTGTCGATAAAAGTGTCAATTAATTACCAACTTCGGCAGCTCTTAGACCCGAACTACGAAAGTACAGGGTGTATGTAGGTAAGGAACTGAATTTCTTGATCTGTCTCGAAAATATCAGGAATTGTAGGTACCTATATTATACCTATCCTTTGAGTTACAAGTTTACTAGATAGTGAAGGAAATGGGGCACGTAGGTACCTAAGCTGTAATAATAAACAATTGACAACGGCCAAGCAGAATTGAAATCCAATAAGATCGGAGGATTATGGAGTCTTTTATTGGAGTCATTTGACCGTAGCTTAAAGGTAATGTTCATTTATATCGCAGATAAGTGAGTCGTTTGTTCTGATTTGAACATCATTGAGGCACTCATGTGCGAAGTTACTTTTAGAGTTTTTATTTTACTCACATAGTCGCTATTGTCGAACTCCAGCCGAAGCACGGCGACGTAGTAGTTGCCTTCCATGCTCTCCTTCACCACCGACACTTTCAGCCTCAGGGAGAAAATATCTTCAGCTATCTCGTAAAGTTGACCTGCGAATTTATGAATAGGTAACTTAGTGCCAATTTATATGAAGCGGGTACCAACATAAAATAACCCGAAGCAAGTGTATTGTACCAAGAATTCTCACGAGTGACGTTGGGTTAAGCTGGCCACATATTTCGGCTGCCGTAATCAGGATGTCACGTACGCGAAACCTAGCGGTCAGGGTCTCCGCTTATTAATCTTAGGGAATCGTTTATTGGCTTTACGGCCTGCAAAAGGAGGCATTACTTTGATAAAAAAAAGTTACTGAAAAAGTGTTTTGTACACTAAAATACAAACTTTACAAAATTTTATGGTAAGAAGACCTGTTATCCTTGAACATGTGAAAGTACCACCCATCGCGCGGTTCATGACTAAATTGTGTATGAAGTTTGCGCACGGGTCAGATACATACTCTTTGATTCCATGCGCAGGGATATGAATCAATCAGATTGTTCAGAACTATAGTGCGCAGCGATAGATTCTACTCGTAGAAATTTAGTGAAAAGCAGCTGTATGCTCGGCAAGTGCATGCGACGCGAACCACATGCAGATGAATCTGAATTATACGGATTGTGGTGTCGTACTTGGAAGGAGGGGTTACTCGTAGCTCACCCAAGAGGAAGTGCGTGAAATCGCACCGTTGTATGCATGTCGAGCACATGCGACTTGAATCGTATGCAGAAGTGTCTTAATTGTGCGTCGTATCTTGGACAGAGGGGTCGCTTTGTGACTGTTTGTCTAGGAAGAAATACTCATAGCTCACCCATGAGATAGTGAGTGAACCCGCAGCGGCCACTGCTATACACCAGCTCTGCGCCATGTCTGTGCGCGCGCGTCAGTTGCATGCTCGGCGAGCGCATGCGCGGGAAGGTAAACCGCATGCGCTGGTGGATGTTGTCCACCGACTGCAGGAACGTGCAGAAGTAGCGGCCGGTCGCGCGAATCATCGTGTCGTAGCTAAGGAACACCATCTATAGTTACTTACTTTTAAAGTAATTTATTTACCCTATTCCACCTAGGGTAGGCAGAGTGGAATTAAAATATTTATCTTATCCCACAAAGTGGAAATAAAAATCCACTCTTCCCACCCAAGTGGGATGACCAGGTGGGATAGGTGGAATGGGGGATTTATTTTTTCTACATTTAAATTCAACACGTAAGTAGGTTATGTCATATAGGTAATCAAGTGACGTCTAAAAGGCTGTTCGGACAAACAAGACAAAGCTATGTACGCTGATACGCTGATATAAGTTATGTAAATCACGATTCAAATCGAAAAATAATATAAACGCTCATTGACATATTTGGGTTTATTTTCGTTACGCTAACGTTAACGTTACGCCTGTCAATTCGTAAAACAAGTAAATTATGTTCAAACGGATACAAGCCTCCAACTTTACATTCTTTGAGATTTGTAAAATTTATTAAAACTTTGAAATAAGTAAGTATCCACAAAATATTATTTTATAAAGTGTCTTGTGCCTATTAATTAATTAGTAGATAATTAAAGTTGTATGTACTCGTATCGCCACCATGATAGTTCATGTACTTATGTAAGTAGCTCCAAAGATGATGAAAATGATATCCTTTTTATTACCTTTGATTAGATCAATTAAGTTTCCACGATCTCATGCCGCGATCATAAAAGTAATAACTGAGAGAACTTAAAACTCAACTGAGTTATTTTGTAAGACACAACGAAAATATTTTGACAAAGCGAAAGGATCTTAAGAAATACCTATTTACAGTTTCTTCTTGAAAAAAAAAAGTCACCAGTGTGCCTAAGAATTGGATTTATATTTGTTTCGTACAAAAACTTTCTTTTAATTAACGCCATTCCTAATAAACTCGAGAATAAGGAAAATCGGTCAAGTCGAAATTGGAGTAGGTATCACGCCAATTGGAAAATATTTTAGTGACGGTCCGTTTATGTTGAAAGGGACCGGGATAATATTTGGCGTCTTGATTGAAAAGTTTTTAATGCTATCTAAAAATATTATTCCAACTTGAACTGGACTGATTAAAATGAGGGGCGTGGGTAAAGGCTCGTTAAAGCAAAACTTACCCATAGTTGCTGAAGAACTTGACAAAACATCTGCCAAAGAAATGCATGACCTTTTCAGGAGTGCCAAACTTCTCCCTCATGCTCGAAAGCCTGTCCCCGCTGATCAGGCTGAGGCTGTTCAGTCTCTGCCTCACCGGAGCCCCCGATCCTCTCCGTTTATATACGTCTAGTGCCACCGTGCAACTGGTTTTCCGAGCTGAAGGTTTGACGATAGAATTCCTCTTGCTGTTTTCCGAATCGGGAGACGTAGGTGTCGTTCCTGCCGAATCATCAGGACTAACTGGTTCTTCTTCCTTCAATGGTGTAATTTCCTCAACTTTACTACACCCGGGTTTCTCTTCCGATACTGTTTCTGGCTCATTGTTTTCTACTGCAGGAAGACAGCGGTTTTCCAATGTGATAGCAAGACTCCGTCTGTGCAAGTTTAGTGCACTTGCGATTTGGAGTTCTTGGCCTTCGTTGATCCTGTCTGTAGATCTATGTGCTCGGATTTCTTCTGATGAATTGTACGCATCGATTTCTTTCTTTGTGACAGCTGTGAGGGCATTAGCGGCTGTGAACGGGCATTTATAACCGGCTGCTCTACCGTCGGTATGTACTGACGCACTTCGCCAAGACGGTTTAGATTTCAACGACTGTTTTCTTGGGGCTGGACTAGCAGGAGTGGAAGTAGTTGGGCTGTTGGGATCTTTCGTGATAAATCGCGCCAAAGCACTGGCCAGGCGTAACATGAGAGCATCTGGATATTGCTGTAAAACAAAACACGTATTTTTTCTATTTGAATTAGTGATCTTAGTATCAATAATTTGCATAATTATTACAAAATATTTTATACCTGAGTAGCACTGAAGACAGTATTTCTGGCACCAGCTTCTCTTAGAATAGTTTCCCATATTTCCTCGCCACATTCTTGCTGTAAAGAGAAAAAAGATTACCATTTTTGTTCCTATACTCAACTCATTCGCATCACTTTACATTTCGTTCGTTTGTTGTCAGCTCAATCCGTTTCACTGCGCCCCTTTTTGTTATGTTAAGTAAAGCATTTCCATTCTATTCCACGAGACAGCTTCTGCGTATAGTGACTTCAAAATGATAAGCGGTATCACATAATATGTATCTCGAACAATGTACCCTGAATCGATATGTTATAGATAGAACTGTAGTCTAGAAGTGCTATAGCAAGGACGCATTCAAGTTTCGCAAGTCCGCACGTGTCGCTCCAAAAGTTGCGGCCATTATTTCAATACATTTGCTGCCAATATCACGTCGGCATAATGTTCAATGCCATAAACGGAATCTGTTACGTGTATGAAATTTAGGAATGCGAATACCTTAAACAAACAAACCACAAACTTTTCAAAACAATTACAGTAAAATTTTACCGCTTTGTTTTCAGCTGCGGAAAAAAACCTTGCTCTTCCTCTACTCTAGTTTTACTGGCCTGTTTTCGTGTGCAGCAGAATATTATTATTTGCCAATGATGCCATGGGGAGGGGAACGAAAGTAATAAAACTTTGCGATATCAACAATGTTTGTGGCATTCTTTGGGTTTTAATTAAGAATAATGTAAAAAAAATCTTTCTTATAAATTGATTTATATGAGCCATTATACTCGTAGTATGACAAGCTATTAAAATTGGTCAGCTAGCACTATAACATGTAACTGAGGGATGAAAATTTTTTTTCGATGTACATACCCGTGTGGGGTATCAATGGAAAGGTCTTTTAAAATGATATAAAGTTTTCTAAAAAACATTTTTCTTAAAGTGAACGGTTTTTGAGATATCAGCTCTCAAAGTCGTAAAAAGTATGTCCCCCCCCCTCTATTTTTATAACTACGGGGTATAAAATTCTAAAAAAAATAGAGGTGATGCATGCTAATTAACTCTTTCAACGATTTTTGGTTTGATCAAAGTATCTCTTATAGTTTTTGAGATAGGTTGATTAAATTGACATAATAAGTTTATTATATTTGCTGCTACGGAACCCTTTGTGCGCGAGCCCGACTCGCACTTGGCCGGTTTTTTAATCCGAACATAAGTTTGACCTCAATATACACCACTAAATTTTAATCACCGAAAAAAAAAATTCTGGGTAATGAGTTATTGATACTGATTCCATTTGTGCAAAAAAAAGAGTAAAATAAAGTGACTCAAAATATCCTCCTAAAATTGGTAATTTATTGACACACGCGTCGCTAGCACTATTTACGTACGATAATGTAACACTTATTAGAATTCAAAATGGTCTAAGTTAGCTAAGTATGTAATAATAACACTGGAAGCGTGGTCGAGGCGTGAGCGAGACAGACAGATCGATGCAACGTGCGAGCGCGTACGACTACTCTAGCGAGCAGCGGAGTGACTCAGCTGTGACGCGTAAAATACGGACTAAAGAAAATGTAATAAAAAAATTAACTTTATGAAAAACATTTCTTTTTCTTTTGCTTTAAATTTTTCACACGTTTCTACATAACCTGTTAAAATTTTTTCGGTGATAAAAATTTAGTGGTGTATATTCCCGATTGATGATGAAGACGAAGATGGAGCACTCTTAGCTCTATTCATCTACTTTTGTTTACGAGTACGACTGGTCATAAACCTTCCAACAGCCGCAGAGTTCTGCCAAATTTACATTTATTAGTGCAGTTTATTAGAGAATTCTCTAATGGACATGCAGCCTTAGCACTCGATTTAATTAAATCATACCCATCACAAGTTCGTAACATATTTGTTTAGGCACTAAGTTACTTTTCCGAGTCGAGCACACTCGTGACGTGCTCCATCCTAAGTATCCTAACATTAGTCTTCGTCAGAGGGACACACAATTATAACTTTTATTTGAACGAGTATAAACTTTGTTTTTGGATAAAAGAAAAATATTGATTTGATTAGTACCTAGGTGTTATGTTTTAGGCGCTCCTTATCTAAATATGTATGAAAACAGATGAAAACTCTCATTTTAACCTTTTAGTGGTCATGGCTGAGATGCACTTTTTGAGAAACCTGTATGGATTGAGATTGATCTTAAAATAAGCCATACAATAATAAGTATATTAAGTACTTTGTATTTGTTTTGAAAATTTTCGGTCGGCGGGATTTCTCTTTATAAGACTAAACAATGAATACGAATTACCTTACATAACCAGAAAATATCTGTGGTTTGGACTAATTATTATACTTATTAAGTAATTGGATGAGTTGCGGAAAATGTTAATACGCAAAATTTGTTCAGTCTCGTAATTTGCAAGAGTACGAGTGTGTCATTGTATGAAAATGAATCATTAATGAAGGTACCTAGTTCATTGGTTGATATTTATTATTGAAATCATTAACTACACTGAATTTTCCTCTTTAGCTTTATTACCTACATTCTACCTAGGTATTACAACACTTGGTCAAGTAACAAGTTCATTAGAGTAGTTTTGATATTAAAAAAGAAAATTGAATAGATGATTAAAAAAAGGTTTACAAAGGGCGTAATGATAAAATTAATCTTATCAACTTCCAAGAACTCACCACAATAAAATGCTGCACACTTTCGAGCAGCCACCCGTACATAATTAATGTCTCCGCCGACTTTTAAGTCGAAATTATTTTTTGGTATCAAACGCTTTTCAACTCCGTGAAATTATCTAAAGCGAGGCTGAGTTCGCGATAAAATTTCTAAGTGTGGTCATTAATTTTTCCGAGTGGTAAGTTGTGTCCCGCGCCCTGCGAACGTAGAGCCTGCGAGGCCTTCGCGTCACTACTGACGGATAAGGGAAGGCTGCTACTTTAAATTCTACATCGCATATTCCACTTTGGAAATGAAGTGAGTATAAACAAAAGAAAATTAATAGGTTCCAACTCATTGTGCTAAAAGTACATGATGTTTTTATAGGTAATTGGTATCAGGCTCTACTTTACCTACTATGTACAAGCAAGGTTACAGAATATGCCTGTCATTACATTGTTGCTTACCCTGTGGCATAAATTATTGTAAGTGTTACCACATTGAGTAAGAGAAAAATGTTCTGAAAACTACAATCCCTAATTATTGTTGAGATTACTTAATTTTACTATAAATACACAATCCTAATTATTTGAGCGTTAATTAGCTGCATAGAACTGAAACCGTAATTTTAGGATTGTTTGTTGTCGCCATCTGTAAAACGTACTAAACCTAAACATAATTAAACTTAGTTCCAGTGGATGCTTCTTTTAGTAATAAACTTAAATAAAACATAAAATATCCTGATGGGCCGCTCTACTATAGGAGAAAAGTTTCAATGAGATTTTAATTTAGGTAAGTCCTCTGTCCAGGCGATTATCTTATCACAAACAATTTACAGACTGATCTCGTCACAGTCATTTGCAGAGAGATGTAATTAAGAGTCAACGAACTGAGAGTTTTTATGAATCTCAATAATAGGAATAGTTTTCGCAATGGAGACAAGTGGCAATATTCAAATAGGCAATGAACCAAAACTAGGGTTGTCGAACTTTTGTCAACATTATTATTATCACACTTATCAAAACGACTGGACATTTCCTTTTTATTTAAGGGCATTTCTACTGTACGGTGTATTTTTTCTCAATTCGGTGCTAAAATTTATATTTACTTTTTTTAAGTAGTTTCAATACAAAAAAATAAATGTTACTCCATTCTGAATGTAAAAATAGCATTGTCACTAAATATTGTGAAGTGGTTTATGAGAAATGTTAAGCATCGAATTGAGAGAGCACCGAATTGAGAAAATGCATCACGGAATTGAGAAATGAATCTCCAAGTATAAAAATCGCTCCGCAAACTTTGAATTGATGACATTATGAAGAAATACCTAATGTATTTCAATAATTATTATAATAAATACTTAAAACGTTTTGATATCTGATTGCTGGTCTATTAGTTAGATGGTTCATTTTAGGTTTATGTGTCTGAAATACCAATGGAATAAAATAAAAATCCTAATCAATATGTTTAATTTTTTAATAAGGAACTATAATAAATTCTTAATTTTTATATATTATTTTAATTTTATTTAAATAAAACAAATAAATACATAACACAGGGTCTCTTTGTTTATTTATTCTTAACCTTAAACATAAAACAAATATTGCAAAACCCAAGAGCTAGATTGACCTGACACTATACCGAAGATTTATATCGGACGTCAGTTTGTACACGATTAATATGGCACTCAAATAGCTGAAATACAACAAGGCACCAGGTGTTACGGCATTATAGCTGAGCTTCGCCGGTACTAAAGGCTCTACAGAAGCAGTTCAATTACGTCATTCTCGAAAAAAAAACGCCTCCGGCATGGCACAGAAGTGTGGTGATAGCATTATAGACTCATCTCACTTATGAGGCGTGTTTACAAGCTGTTTTCGAGAGTCCTTACGAATCATCTCGCTCGCAGACTCGACGACTTCCAGTCTTCCGAACAAGCTTGTTTCTGAAAAGGCTTTAGTATTATGGTACACACACAGGTACGCTACGGCAGATTATACAGAAGACCAAGGAGTCGCGATATCGGGGATGATATCCGAGTCATGGCCTCCGTAGAGCCTTTCAACAAGTGGGTCTCAAAATGAACATGGACAAGACAAAAATCAAGTCAAATGTCCGTGTTGCACCCACTCCTCCGAAGGTTGGAGACTACACTCGAAGTTGTTGACAATTGTGTATACCTGGGACAAGAGTCCAGATAGTTAGGACCAACTTTGAGAAAGAGGTCTATCGCTGAATTCAACTCAGCTAAGCATCGATCGGGAAGCTTCGCTATTACGTCTGAAATACCGCAGCGTCTTACGACAAAAGTCTTCTACCAGTGTGTGTTGCCAGTGATGGTGTATGGATGTGAAACTTGGTCGCTTACTATGAGCCTACTAAGAATCAGAAATGTGAATATCGGCAAGAGAACCAAAGTGACCGGCATAGCCCGTAAAATTGCATAAATCAAGTAGCAGTGGGCGCGGCAAATAGCTCGTACAGATAATGTCTGTTGGGACTGAAAAGTTGTCGAGTGGAAACCACGGACCAGTGAGCAGGCCCCCACTAGGTAGACCGACGATCTGGTGAAGGTCGAGGGAAGAACCTGGAAGAATTATTTTAATAAGATACCTAGCAATAGCTGTGTATTTTTTTTAAATAAAACCTCAAAAAATTAGTTTTATTGTCTTCTGTCCAATGACTGGTACGGTCCAATGATTGTTAGTTCACCCTATTATTATGCTCTATTGATTTAATTATTATTTTAAGTTACACAAACAATTTATAGCACAATAAAAGTATCTATTTTCATTTAATATCAATTCGGTGTACGTGTTTTCTCAACTCGATGCCCCATATTCCGCGGAATTGAGATCCACGGAATTGAGGTAAAATCACATTTCATCAAATTACTCGAAAATATTATAAATTANCATCATCATCATTTCAGCCATAGGACGTCCACTGCTGAACATAGGCCTTTGTAAAATAATTAGACTAAATTATTAAAAGTGCCTACCCAAAGTCATTAGTCCACGCGGACGAAGTCGCGGGCACAGCTAGTGTTAATCTAAAATACGAATACGTAACGTAATTCGAAATGATAATTACAGGTGATTATAATTATAATATTTTAATAATGGAAGAAGGCTTTCTGCTTCGTGATTTGTTTATGTTGGCCGTGTAGCGTATATAAACGTACCACCTAATGTTGGTGTGTTTTAATAAAGAATAGGCAAAATATTCTAATTAAATTTGTCTAAGTTACTCTCAATTTTAGAGTTTCTGTATTTTTGGGTTTATATGCAAGAGGGACGGATATACCTAACCAATAATACATGATCATCTTTAACTTAGATATTCCTGTTGAAACCAAAGGTTGATTATTTATGATCCTCGAGATTGCGTTCGTAAGATTCAAAGATATTCGTAAGCAATTTGCTTTGACGCCGGTTCATCATGAATATTTAGTGAATTTATAAGAAACTGTTGATTAATATCGCTAGTCGACACCCTCGAAAGTAAATCGATCATAATGACCCCAGTCTTCCTGACACTATGGACATGGCGAAGGGGATGATTGATGTTGACTTTTTACCCGACTACGGCAAAGCCAAAGGAGGGTTATGATTTTGACAGGCTATGTATGTATGTATGTATGTATGTATGTATGTTCATCTGTTCCCTCGTAACTTCTAAACTACTTATCAGAATTTGACAAATGACATATCATTAGAAACGTCTTAATTGTCCGCTGGTTATAGGCTATATGGGGTTTCACAAAATCTAATGTGGCGCCCTCTAGCGGACATAACATACAGAGTAAAAAAATAAAGTTAAGATAAATGTGCCGTGTTTGGTATCATTTGAAAGGGCTTTACTTGTACATTTTGAATATATATACAGTGTGAGTCACGTTAAAGTGTACATATGAAAATAGATGAAACTAGACCAATTTTTATCGACAAAAAAGAGGTCAAAAATTTTTTGAGATTTTTTTTTAATTTTTTATAGAATTTTTTTTCTTCAAATTACTTATTGTGAAGAAAACGTAATAACTTTTAAACTAAGCGGTATATCCTGATAAAATAAAAACAGTAATAGGGGAGACTGGGGCTGGTTTTAACAGGGGTAAATACTAACAGCGTAATTACATAGAACCTATTCGACTTACCACGCTAATTCCAACGCACTTTGTGCCTACGAATAAGCGCGAACGTGTCTCGACCTGTCAGTTGCCGGTCAAGCGTCACGGGAGCAGGTTGCGTCAGACGTCTCCAATTTCACAGGAAAATGAACTTTTTTACGTGTTTAATTTTTTGCATTACTCTTTAAATATGTATCGTAGAAAATTGGCTTTGGTANTGTGTGCGGATTGGGTTGTCGTACAGGGGTACTACATGGTAACTTAAATCTCTTCGGCGAAAACAGGATAATTTAGATCGAACTTCACTTGGTAAGTTCGTTTGATCATTCAATAATATGAAATTGATATTTCGCGATTGTCGCCCAGTGTGCGCTGTCGCTAAAACCTCATCGTCTTGCTAAATTGGAGAGCATCGTAATGATGATGATAATGATAAAATCCATTATTCATTTCACGGAGAAAATATAAAGACGATTCTTTGACGGAGAGAAAATGATTTTTTTTTTTTTTTTTTATCCACAACGAGGAAGCTCTTGGCCTGTATCTCACCTGATGGTAAGTGACGATCAGGCCGAAGGTGGAAGCGAGCTTCACCCGGAATCCTCAACCACGGAGGAACTGGCTATCTTACCTCTAACTGCCGGAACACAATAATGCTGTGAACATTGTTGTTATGGCGACAGACTTAGGTAAGATGGTGGTAGCTAGCCAGGCGGACTTAGAACAAGCCCTACCACCAACCAAATACGTTTCAATTACAACAAATCGGAATGCATTAACAGTTGCAGAGGAAATTAGTAATCCCATTAGCTCTACCTGGCTAACTTTATGTTATTCTGTATTTAAACATTCCGTTTGAACTAGCAACTAACTGACGGTAATTAATGATGTTAAAATGCTGAGCTAGACTAAGTAATCCTATATTTCACGATACGATACTCGCTTTGGATATATTTTGTATTTATAGGTCCATGTGTATGTACGTACTTACGTATGATGAGCTCATTTGCAAGTTGTATGATGTAATGTAATACTAGTCGGCCGTTTGGTGTAGTGGTTCAGAACGGACTACTATGCCGAGAGGTCCCGGGTTCGATTCCCGGCCGGGCAGA